TGTAGACCCAAGGCTTGGAGCTCTGAATGAATCGATATACTTATTAAAAGTTCAGATTCCTGGATCCCACCGCAGTTCTACTGACTTAACATTTCAGAGATTGAGACCTAGAAATCTACATATTTAACACTGCACCAGATGTCTGCTTTGCACATTGAATTTTGAGACCCTCTGCCAGGATACTGAATCCTAGAATACCATGTTGTCAAGTTTGGTAAGTTTCCAGCATGAGTTTTGCTTCAAAAAGACAACTGGCAATTGCTTTCATATAAAATCCACCTCCACCTCCCACCATAAAAAACAAGTCAAGTGTTTGTTAATGATTCTTATTCAAATATGCAAACAAGCAGACTAATGGTTTATGAAAATGCTGGAAAAATTGGAATTCTGATTTTTAAAATATCAAGGAAATATAGGTTTTAAATAAAAAAAGAATAACTTTAAGTGCCAGTTCTGAGATGCATTTTCAGATAGATAGATAGATAGATAGATAGATAGATAGATAGATAGATAGATGATAGGTAGGTAGGTAGATAGATAGATAGATAGATGATAGGTAGGTAGGTAGATAGATAGATAGATAGATAGATAGATAGGTAGATGATAGATAGAGAGATGATAGGTAGGTAGATAGATAGATAGATAGATAGATAGATGTTAGATAGATAGATAGATAGATAGATAGATAGATCGATCGATCGATCGATAGATAGATAATATGTGTCAGAGCCAAAGAATGTGGAAGTTATATAACACCATCAATGTCACATGCAGGCAGTTTTCCTGAGGATCATTGGAAAACGCTGGCAGCAGGACAGCAGCATGTATCTTGGACATGCTATCAGGAGAGATCAGCTCCTGGGAAGGGCACTGCTTGGTAACGTGGGCGGGGGGGGGCAGTGAAAAAGAGACCCTCAGCAAGATGGACTGATACAGTGGCTGCAACAATGAGCTCACCCCTAACCATGGGGAGGATGGTGCAGGACCGGGCTGTGTTTTGTTCTAAGTGTGAGCCAATTTGACATACCTAACCACAACACTCACTAACAATGGGGCACAGTGGAGCTATAGTAATGAACTAAAGAAGCTAGGTCCCTAGCCCTACCTCTCTTTCCCCTTTATTTGTCTTAAAAGCATTTAGCACAGAAATAAACAAAGAAGTAAGATACTTTCAGAAAGTGGTCATGCCACGCAGACAATAAAACCGGCTGATGAGATTCAGTGTGGTAGGGAGGGGAGCAGAGTAAGTGGTGGGCTCGATTACATCCGGGGATCATCAAAAGTGGGCTTAAAGATAGCATACAAGCATCACTGACAACAGAGCCTGAGATCACGAGGACCACAGATCTGTCATAAGAAGAATTCATTACAAAGCAGGAGATACATTGCTGAAGAACAAAAGGCAAGTCTGCATGGAGGAGGAGGAAGAGAACAGAGTCTTTTTCTTTTATCTGAAGGGCTATGCTCATGTGCCCGAACCCTGGGTAACAGAAATGGTTCAACTACTAACCATAAGGCAGGTAGATCAAACCCTCCCAAGGGCACTATGGGAAAATGGCTTGAAGTTGGCTTCCAGAAGGTCACAGCCTGAAAACCCCCCGGAACACACACAGTTCCAAGGTCCTACTCATGAGGTCACCAGGAGTCGCCGTCTACCAGAAGGCAACAGGAAAGGGTATAAAATAGAGCTGAAATGGTAAACTTAATAGGGAGACAGAATCTCAGCTCAAATTTGAGAGAGTTGTCAGAAAGTGGACTGTCTGTAGGCAATGAGTCCCACGTGATCTTTGAAGGTGCACAAGGATGGGCTGGGATCCAGCTGGCAGCATCTATGAGGGTCCTTGCAACCCTTTGCAAACATACACACTCACAGTGCCTTTCTCTCACAAACACTGGAAGACTCTGATGGCCGCCTTACATGGCATTGTATAACCTTAAGACAGGCACATAAGCAACCTGGCAGAAATACTGAGGACTGCATCATATTCATAATTCATATTGTCATCCTACAATAAAGTATGTCTCTGTTTCTTCAATAACCAATATATATTTCAAAAGGGCAAATTATGAAACATAAGAGACTTACATTAATTTGAAAGCCGGCTAATTCATGGTAGTATTTAAGCAATACACATTAAATCATTATTTTGGCTTATTAAATTAATCACTCTATTTTAACAAAAATGTGTTTGATTTCCATGAGGTTCCCAATGGGTGGTATGTCAATAAACAGGAAAAATCTTTAACAAACAGATAATGCAGCCTTTTGTTGGTTTGGTTTTTAATTGGAGCTCTGAATATAAGAAGATGGTTTCCCATTCAAATCCTAACAGAGAATCACTATTCGTTACTCTCCAGCTGTGCTGTTGGAGAAATAAAGTAAAAAAAAGATGCCAATGGGCACTCTATTCCATTGGGGTCAAAATGCTGAAGATAAGTAAGTCTACCCTTCCAAGAATTAGTAACCATAAAATAGCCTCTAGCCTAAGATTATCAGCAACTTTGATAATACAGGCAGTATTAAGATTCTCCACCAAATAGTTGTATTTCTACCTCCACTTCCATCTGGCTTACATCCAACTATACTTCTGGAAATATCCCATGAAGACAGATATATACTTTTTATTTATTGTATTGAGGATGTTTCCTAAAAAACTACTTATAAGTAAATAAAATTATATTATACCTCATTAGGGTCGATTAAATAAAGAAAATTATGATGAATCCTTTCATAAGGTAAAATTCATAAAAGCATGCCTTGCTTTTTAACAACCCAGGAGCACTGAAAGCTGGCTTTATAAAAAAAATAAGAACCAAGGATTGAACATTTAATTAAACTTCAAGAATTTACCATAGGCCCTTTTTTGTTTTTTCGTACCAGAACCTTCCCTGGTACTGTACAATGTCTCTGTATCCCCATGCATTTCATAAATCTACCTCCACAAAAGTGAAGGACAGCTCCGAGTGTGAAAATCATTCCTTAAGTAACTTTTCTTTGAGTTCGTTTTTTGCTATTCCATGAAACCTTAATCCACCGGGACTCGGTTATAGCAGAGCTGGGTTAGTGCCCTCAAAAACCCCGAGGTTTCTGTTCATGAATAGTGCCACTGAACTTCATCTGGCTGCCCCAAGTCCATGCCCTTCGTTAGGAAGAGAGTTCCAGTTCTTTGGACAAATCATCACATGTCTCCATGCCATCTACACTTACAATCTCAACTGACTCAGAGAGAGGAAAATGGTGATGGGCACAAAGCCACCCAGGGAGCTGGTCCAAAAGACTAAAGATGACCCGTGTGTCCTACGTGTCCATCCTATGCAGTCTCCCCTCAGCTTAAGGTGCCACATTTTTTCCCAACCAATAAGAAGAGAATGTCACTCTTAAGAAAAATGATGTCAGCAAAGTCAATGTTAACTACTTTAGATCCCTTTCTTCTCTAACATGACCGGAGACACTTTTGCCATTTGCTTCCTCTTCCTTGTTGTCAGGTGATAAGACAATAGAGAAAATTCTGAGCTATATAAAACTCCTCATCTTTAATTGAGTCCCTCTATTACCCCCTTCTATCAGAATATATAGAGTGGGCTGAGCTAGGAATCATCTCCCGTATTCGTATTCTCCACACAGGTAGCACTGTACCATGGAAGGCCTCTAAAAAGTATTACCATGGCATGATCACAATGGTACAGAGTTATTACTCGATATTGACAGCAAATCAGAAGTAATTTTCTACCTCAATCAGGGCTTAATTCATTAGTCCACATTACTTCACAAGTTCAATCCAATTTCTCAAAATGCAGTAACACAATCTTCCAACCCAATTATCTTCATTGAAAGTATTTAAAAGCATTTGCTGAGACACGTTCGTTCTGTGTCAGACAGGATCAACATCAAGTGAACAGCTTGGGAAGCTACATTCTGTCTAATTTCAGGGGTTGACATTTTAGAAAATAATCTTCTCTTGTAAGAGGGGGGAAAATGTCCCCCGTTGTGAACACCAAAGGGTACCTTCCAGTATCTTAAAGATTTGGTTAAAGGTACACCCATTTTACCTTGGACTTTAAAAACCAGATTCTCAAGAATATATGCTTTGGACATTCAGAAGACTTATAAGTCTTATCATCTGGGTTACTTCGACAATAATGCTATCAATCGAGAGCAGTTCAGAGCGCAGATGAGGGATTGTTTAAACAAGAAGCACAATCATGAAGCCCATCCGTGATGGAAATGCCACCCCTGTCACTAACACCTGGGAAAGCCATGGTGATTTCCTTCAACATAATTGTCAGGAAATGGTTTGTTTGAAGATATTTCAATATCTCAATCATCAACCCTGCTCCCCGAAGTTTCCATCTCAAAAGAACTCATTTCCATTTTCCTCTTGACACTGGAAAGACAAATCAACCCAGATTTTTCAAACACTGTTTTTTCAGATTTATTTGCTAGGAGTAAATATTGTTTGAAAACCTGAATGAGACAAATTTGTCAAAATGTCTTATTCTTCAGCCAAGTCTCAACTCATACGTTTGACTTTTAATTATTTCCCAACTTGTAGACTTCACCGCTGCCACTGGGCTTTTGCTTTATGCCGGTTGGTTCCTTCCCGCTGGTCCTGAAACTCATGGAACTCCTCCTGCCCTAGGCCAGTTACCAAATCTCCTTCCCCAGATGCAAGTTTAATAGCTTAACTTTCTAAAGTAAATGGCATCCTTTGCTCTTTGACCTGTTCTGGCAGTGATTAAAAGAAGCAAAAGGCTCAGAGAGCTTCCAATATGCAACATTAGAATTCATGTGTCATAAATAAGCAAGGTAATGTATAATGAGGGGAAATACCCAAATCACAGAATCTAGTTTAGGCACTGGGACTGCTGAGATAGTTCCAAAGAGGGAGAACTAGGGTAAAAGGTATATTATTGTTGCGTGGCGCTTATGAGCAAGTACAGACAGCATTGCTATTCTGAATGAATGAACCAAAATCACACCTGAACCACAGCAAACTTACCTTATAAACCTGCCCATAGGTTCCATTTCCAACAAGTTCCACCAATTCAAAGATCCCTGCTGGGTCCTGAAAAAAAATCGACAAGAAAAATTCACAACGGTGTTCCAAGCATTCTTTTCATCAAAAGCAAATATTAATGAAAATAAACATCCGAATAACAATTTTAGCATTGGGGACTGTCATGGGTTTAAAGAAAATACGATGAAAATTTAAATTGTAATTCAGCTGCAGTGAGGAAATTTGCTTTAATATTTCTATACCTGTGTTTACATCAGACAAAAGATGTGCCTTCAACCGAAATCATCGAGAAGAACTGATACCTTCCTCTCACATTTAATGGAAACGCAGTACATCAAAGACACCATGAAAAACTCATCATCCGATGACAGGGCTGATTTTTCTAGGTATTTCTCTTCGACTCTTCCAAGATGCTCATTGTGCTGAATGCAGCAAAAAGGAGAAAGGAGCACGACTATAGTGTAGGACAATCCTACCTAACGTAGTCAACCATTTCCAACAACAAATGGAATCAGCATAACTACCCTTCAAGATGTTTATCTTGAGATACACCCCCAACAGTCCGCCATACACACACGTACATGCACATGTACACACATGTGCAGGCACAGTGTTGCCTCTGCACAACATGCTCTTGCAGGAGGACCGCTAGTTCAATAAGCAAGACTTCGATAAAAAAAACTCAATTAGAAGTATGTGTAAGGTCTTAGAGGAGCCCTAGTAGTTAACACATTGGAATCCTAACTACTAAGTCATCAGTTTGAAGCCACTAGTTGCTCCACAGGAGAAAAATGAGGCTGTCTGTTCCTGTAGAGTTATAGTCTTGGAAGCCCACAAGGACAGTTCGACCCTGTCCTGAAGGGTCACTATGACTCAGAACAGACACAATGGCAGTGAGCTTGGCATTGGTTTGAAAGTCTTACTATCAAACAGGTATTGCTAACTATCAGTCTCAGCTAAATGTTAGAATGTTTACTAAATATCCGATAACTACCATTATTATTACTGATGTATATCATAAAATGGTAATAGAAAAAGTCAAAGCCTGTAAGTCAGAATTGGTGCAAATGGCGGTCGGTCGGTTGGTTGGTTGGTTGGTTGGTTGGTTGGTTGGTTGGTTGGTTGGTTGGTGTGTATTTTAATACATTCAACTCAGAAGCAGAAATTGACTTTTACCTCTACTGGTCTTTAACAAAACAGAGAATGCTTTTAAAATGCCTAAGTCAAGAGTCACGCACTCAGAATGCCCCGAGCTGCCAGGCAAGTAGCAAACATGAGTGAAGAGGGCTGGAAGAGGTAAGGCTGCTGCAGTGAACGGGAGAAGGTGTGCTTCCTTCCAAGGGGAGAGAAGGGGGGGCTGTGGTCTATTTTACTGTGCTGAGTCAGCACATGGGCACAAAATTGCAGATTTAAAGATTTGTCAAGAAAAATGGAATGTTAGGTCGAATGTAAGAAGAGCTCCTCATTTTTAAAATATTAGGCATGCACTTCATTAAAACACACACACACACACACACACACACACACACACACAAGCCTCACTATCTGCTGGTAGGATGTAAAATGGTACATCCTTTGGTGGGTCCCCCAAGGTGGAAAACAGGACTAACGTGTGACTCCTCTGCCCGTCCTAGGGAAACACCCGGAAGCAGCGCAGGCAGGGCACCTTCAGGAATCTGCACACCAATATTCAGGGCAGCACTGTTCAAAATAGACCCAAAGGTCCAAACAACCAAAGTGCCCATCAACCCATGAATAGATGAACGAGTGTGGTGCATGTTCCACTTCACAATGGAAGTTGACTCAGAGAGAGAGAGAGGAGCCCCCGAGGCATACCACTACATGGAAGAACTTGGAGAACACCACACTGAGTGAAGGGAGTCGATCACAAGATCATATGCCTTGTATAATCTCACTGATAAATCAGGACAACCAACGATTGCAAGTGGTCACTAGAAGTGAGCTAGAGAAAGGGGAGATTTTGCTTAGGGGGACAATGAGTTTATATGCTAATTGCGGTGGGATGATTTGGAAAAGGATTCCAAGGATGATTGAACAACTTGAAGAATATAATTAGTCACTCAAGTGTACATGTAGAAATTGTTAAAATGGCATATTTGTGTTATATAGATTTTCACTATAATTAATAACAATAATTCTCAGTGGGGTTGGGGGAGACAACTTCAATGACCACTAGTTTAAAGGACTCCAATTATACAGTCACTAGCAATACTAACAGGTAACTTGCCTAGTTATTACACTGAGAGGGTGGAGGTTTGATTCCATCCAGAGATTTCTTGAAATAAAAGCCTGAAAATCTACTTACCCAAAAAAAATCAGCCAAAGAAAACCCCGTGGTTCTCCTCTGACACACCCTGCCATAAGTTGCAGATGACTCTACGGCAATTGGTTTGGATCTCTAGTCAACACCACATGAACACACTGCCCTGTGTTATTATACTATGGTGATCAACTGGTAGTAGATCACAGACTTGGGTTCGAATGTTGGCTGTGCCTTTAAGTCCGAAAGAGGATGACATCTATCAAGCATAGCTCTTGGGAAGAAGGTGTGAGAGCCTAGCATACTGCCTTGCACGACGTTGACAATCTCTTAATACTTAATCATTATGAAGCAGATCCATTCCACACCACCAGGGCTTCCCAGACCAGAGAAACAGCCCCTCTGCATTCATGGGAAGGAGGGGAATGCAGTCAGGAATGACAAGACAGAATTCTCTAGAATCACAGTCTTTAGTAAATTAAGACCAAGAATAGCTCTTTGCTATGTGTTTTAGAAGATTCCACATAGAAAACAAATAAAATAAGAAAGCAGCACCAAGGTCACTTGGGGGACATAGGTTAATCACTTAGTCATTAAGAAAACTTAGAGCTGGCCCAACTCACTTAAAAAGTCAGAAGGGTGAGAACCACCCTATCCATGCAAATGTCCTGATCAATCTAAAAGTCCAGAGGTTCCAGCTACGTTCCACCTGGCCAGGGAGGTGCTCCAGGTGTTCCACACAGAGCCTCAAGACAGGAAGACACTATTTAGATGACGATCACACTTGTTGGCCAAAACCCCACGGCTAAGAGGCACTGTCAAGGCCACCTGCGAGGCATCAGAATAAGAAAGAAGAATTTCGCTTGCTAAACTACTAGGCTATTGGAGCCGCAGGTTTTATTACAAACAGAATTAGAAAGGAATAAGAAAAAGGAGAAGGGGGGAAAAGTCCATAAATGGTGGCAGCTGCTGTTTGTTTCGGAGCCTTGCTTCCCAGGAGTTTGTTTGCTCAGTGGTGTTTCTGCAACAAATTTGGAAAGAGGTTCTACATTTGCTTGAAATATCCCAATTGTGTTTTCAACATTCTTGACTAAAGAAAATAAGGAGAGAGGGAAGGGAGATGCAGGGCGGAGACTAGACAGTGCCGCAGGGAGCCTTAGAGCCACCACAAAGGGACATGAAATGGGGACAGGAACAGAGCCAGGCTGCAGAGCAGGGGTCAGTTTCAACCCAGGGTCACCATAACTCAGGGATCCTGATATAGGATTGAAGGTTAATAGATTTTAGCAGGCATGGGCAGCTGACTTCTGAGGCTCTGCCCACTCCTTGAAAAGTCTATTAGTGGGCACATGAAAGAGCAACTCCAGGGCTTTTGTTCCAACTGCTGGGACAAACAGGCTCTTTCTGCAGGATGCATCCAATGGGTACAGGGTAGAAGTAGCAATAGGTAAAGAAATGAAAGACGTTCACCGGTGGTCACCCTTGGGGAGGCAATCCAACTGGAAACAATGACTGATTTAGACTAGTTCCTATGGTAGTTTAGATTGTGTGTCAACCTGGCTGGAACAATGACTTCGTTTTCAGTGGTTTGGCAGTTAAGATGCAGTCATTGACCTTGGTGAGATCTAATATAATAACTTCCATGAAATCTGCTACAAGCAGCCAATCCATTGAATGGGGTGTGGCCTGCTTCTAATATATGTAATCATTCTGGCAAAGCTTGCTGGCTTTTTTGCTGCATCTGGGTCCTGCATCTGGCTCATTACCTGACCTCCAATTCTTTGGATTTGAGCCAGTGGCCTGCCTATTTCCTGAAAACTGAAGTCATTTTCTCCTGCAGCTATAAGAATCAGGAGAAGCCTCAGCCTGATAGCTGACCCATAGACCAGTAACTTGCCAACCTCTATAACTGAGTGAGCCATTTCCTTGATATAAACCTTTCTCTCTCTCTCATATATATACACATATATACATATATACATATATACACATATACACATATACATACACACACACACACACATATATATATCATCTACTGGTTTTTCCTCTCTGGAAACCTGCTCTAAAACAGTCACCCAGGGAACAGACTGAGACTTTCTGAGATTTTGCACACAGGGAGTTTATTGGAATTAACATATGTAGGTGGGATGAAGGAAGAAGTACTACACAGCTCAATACAACGGAGACAAAAACTCTGACCTTCAAAGGAGCCTGAGAACTGGGGTATGGCTTCAAAACAGTCTGACTTTAGGGCCGCTATGTCTCCCCTGCATTGATTGGCCCAATGGATGCAGGAAGGCTGGCAGCCCTTGTTTCGCAAATGCCTTGGTCATGGCTGAAGTCACACTCAAGCAAAGGCCAACTCCTAGAAAGGGATTCAGAGGAGTCGCAAAATGAGCTGCCTACACTTTGAGCAGGGAGACGAGCGAGTGTCTCAGTTCCAGAGAGAGGCCTGACGCGCCACAGGCCACGACAAGTGTATCTGGAATGACCCCAGGCACTGACCTTGGACAGTGTGCTGACAGTGATGATGGCAATGAGACTGCGGGAGCATCGTTCGGACATGCTATTTGCAGGCTGAGCGTATCTGATACCTTGGAAAGGCGACAGAGGTACAGACTAAGAATACTTCCCCAATGACCCTAAGCTCCTTTCTCCTTTTTCCCTAGGCTGATCAAGGACAGTGGATCATCATTAAGGGTGGTCGATGCCTGCAAAGGTGCTGGTAACACTGACGTAGTGAGTCGTGAGCCATTACTCCTGA